TTTTTTTTTTGGGGGCCAAACCCCCCCCCCCCCCCCCCCCCCAGTGGTACCGCCCCTGGCCATAGGTAAGCTATAATGTCGGGATTTCGGGCTTGAGGGCATCGGCCCCATTTTTTTCTTAAACAACTATTCATGAAAAATGCTAAAATAAGTAAAATTTTATATTTTTGAATTAAAATAGTATAAATATTAATATTGTTTTTTCACATTGTAGTAATTAACATCAAAAGATATAAAAAATATTGTAAGAGTACGAGGAAAAATTACTGTATAAATTATCAAAATATATTTTTTATACCAAAAACCGTTTCTAAAGATAATAATATTAGTAATGGATTTTAAGTTATGTAGCACAAAAACTTCAATTTCTGAACGTTTTCGCGTTTCGCACACATTTCGTTTTCGACACTCGAGGACACCTGCCAAACACCTTATGGGCCATTTTGCAATTTTTGAAAAGTTAGAAACATGTTTGAATAATACACTTCTAGATATTTTTATTACTTCCATAATTAATTACATGAATTATTGATCAACTACAAATTGATAGTAGATAATTACTAATTTTGAATATATTTGTCAGGAAATATAAAGGAAAAATGTTATAGCATATTTATAAATATGCCTCTATACTTTTAATATTTATATGTTTCCCCAAGTTCTCGAATCCTCATTTTTCGGACATGTCCTTTCCTTTTCTCATTTTCACGTATTGCCGTTTCTGTGTCCGTGCTTCAGAGATTTTAAGTGAATTGAAAATTCATGAATTTTTACGATAGAGTGATCGGTTATAAATAAATTCTTCAACTAATAAACCATTGCCATAATAAGTGAATTTAGATTGGGCCAAGAATTTATTTGACAATGGGCTTTTTTTCTTTTTATTCATAAAAGCTCATTGGGCTCAAAATGTGTGGGGGGCTATTTCCATTTTATAAAACTCGAAATAAAGCCCTCACAAACATCACAACACAATTCTTATGTTTGACAAATTCAGAATTGTTTGTAATAGTTATAGTAATTGGTATTCTTCTACACGTGTGATGCACGATGACATTTTAAAAGTAAAAGAATAATAATTTCAATATGTGACAATAACAATTAGAATAAGAAATTATTATACTACAATAATAATATTTACTAGTGATATTTAAATTACAGTAAAACATCAATATTCATATAAATTTTATAAAACAAACTCGCTCAACAAAAGATTATATGAACTCAATTTTCATGATATGAAATTGATCTTTAAATAAATGAGTCAATCAATTAATAAAGCAAAAATTAATTTAAAAAATAGTAATAAAATAAAATCTCATCTATTCCAAAAAAATGACATTTCTTTCTTCGCCTGTCTCCCCTACCAATCTTCTGCCGTCGATTGTCTAATTTATGTCCCAACCACGTCACTCGAATACTTTATCCTCATCGGTCCTAGCCCTCCCTTTCAGTATAAGATATCTATTTTATGTCCAAATTCTCCAACTAAGTTTTTCTTTTAATTGCATTGTATGTTAAGTCTAAGTTCTCCAATATAAGTTGTTTATTTTTAGTCCAATTAAATTGTCCAAATTTCCCAAATATGATGTCCATTTCATTGTATTTTAAATCCAATATAAGTTGTTTATTTTCAGTCTAAGCTGTCCAACTAAATTTACAGATGAAATTTTAGCAAATTTAAAATACATGGACGGACTGTTAACTATTATAAAATAATTTTGAGTTAGTTTTAACTAATTTTCCATAGAAATAAATGTTGAAGTAAATATATGAAAAGGTTGAGAAAGAAGAATTCCGAGTAAGAACGAAATAAGAAAAAATATTTCCAAATCAACTTTATTAAATTCAAATAAATGCAGGGTGTTTGGAAACCAAATTTAAGACATTCATTTATATGGTATACCCGGTGAAAGTTACATCGGGTGATTTTTTTACCGTTGATCTACACACATTAATGTGGGTGTGTGTGTGTTTGTGTGTATATATATGGTAAAAATATACCCGATGTATTTCACTCCGATGTAACATAACATTTAACTAGGGAGCTAAAATTTCAAACAATAATATTATCTTAAAGTCAAA